GATGGATTAATCAAATGTCTATACGTATTATTGTAATATACAACATTTAATGCACCTCATTGTGATTATTATTGTTTTATTATTATTATCATTATTAATATGGCATCTTCAAGACTTATTAATAAGACACTCTTGATGATTTTAATGTGTACCTGCATGCCAGCACAGTGTGTAAATTTATTTAGGTACAAGTACACATAAGTATAATTATCAGAGTATATATAAAATATGAAATAACTTTAAAACACTTGAAATTTTGGAAAGTTTCCAGACATAATGGAGAGTCGTGCTCACGGAGAATGTAAACAAACCAGGTGGGGCATGGAAACTGTATTAGAAAGTAAGATGGGGGGTGCCGTACAGAGAGTTTTGATCATAATTTGAAATGTCCATATTAGCGGAATGCCTTGAAGCAAAATGCCGTAAAGCGGGGCCCTACAGTACTCTGGCTCTGGCTGTATTAGTGGGAAGTTTCTCTAAAAATTTGGTGATGATGGTAACTGCTAATGTCCCCAGCTTAAGTAAATTGCTGGTTTGAAAATTCTTTTTTGTAGCCTTCATGGTCAAGTCACTAGAGTGGTGGCTTGACATTCTGGTTTGCCCACTTTAATTCTTTATACATACTACAGTATTTGGGACAAAAGCTTGTCTCTGGTGCTGGTTACATAGGCAGGAGATGTTATCTGTACAAATTTTCAGTTTGGGCACAGTTAGGAGCCACTGCTAAACTTGATGTACATAAATGGGTGGTTTAAGAATTCCCTATTGTAACCTTCATATCCAGATCACTAGAGCAGTGGCCTGGTATCCCAACTTGCCCCAGTTCAGTTCCCTGCACTCCTCTTATAAGGAGTCTTACAATCATTGATTATGATTTTAAGGCTCATAGCCAATGTATGTGAGCCAGGCTAGACTCTGGTTCTGGTTGTGTTAATAGGAGGTATTCTCCAAAAACTGACAGTTGAGTCAAAGTTATGAGCCACTGCTAGGAAGCCTACCCATTTTATGTACAGAACTCCTCTGAGAATTCCTTAATACAATCTCCATGGCTTTATTAAAGCTGCAGTCTTCATGACCAGGTCATTAGGGTTGTGATTTGGCATTCTGTCTTGCCCCAGTTCAATTTCTGACAAGCTGTTGGAGTGTGAGAAAGGTAACATTTTCTGAAGGGGTTCAGGAAAACCAGGTAACTGGACTTGAGTCCTGGAGGTGGGAAGTACAGTTCCTACACTCTGAAAGAGGGTGGGGATATTTGCAGTCTGGAGAAGCATCTGAACTGTAGAATCTGTGCACCTCTGGTAAGACAGTGGTAGAGTAAATGATGGTGAAAGTGTTTGGCCATCTTCCATTAAGGTTGGTGATCTTGGTGGAATATGGCCAGAAAGCTATGCAAAAAAGCCACAGGGGTTGAGAAACACTGGCTCAAAGCCTTTCACACTTTGTGTTCTGTCAGGAATTATGCAATGTTGCAAGACTTGCAGAAGATAGGTTGAGGGAAAAATTATGAGAGTTAAGGTAGCATGTCCAATGCAAGGTTCTTCTTTTGCAGGAAGAGCACACATCGGATATCTTCCCTTACCCCTGAGAGATTTTTTACATCATCTTATCTGTTGCAAGTCTTGCAACATTGCATAGCTCCAGATGCAGCACACAGTGTGAAAGGCCTTGAGCTAGTATTTACACTTTGCCTGTGGCTTATTTTGTATTGTTAAGATAGCCTCTTTGCAACTGTATTGCATGTGCACACATGCACATATGTGCACACTCACATGTGCACAAGCACACACACGCATGTAGCGACCAGTGAAGAGGCGGGGCCAGGAGCTAGGACTCGACCCCTGCAACCTCAACTATGTGAGTGTACACACACATGCACACACACACACACACTATGTATGGAGGCAGGAACCATACATAGCTTTAAGATAAGGTATGATAAAGCTCATGGAGCAGGGAGAGAGAGGACCTAATAGCACTCAGTGAAGAGGCGGGGCCAGGAGTTGAGTCTTGACCCCTGCAACCATAATTAGGCGAGTACGCACACACACACTCATGCACACGCATGCACACACACACGCACACACACGTGCACACACACGTGCACACACACACGCATGCGCACACACACACGCACACGTGCACACGCGCACACACACACACACACACACACACACACACACACACACATGTAAAAAGCATTATTTAAAAAAACAAACAGCCAGTATCAATATACCATGTTACAAGTGCACATATCTTAGCTAATTTATCTACAAAATTTATCATTCTTCACTATAATAGAATGTTTTGTGGTAGAAATTTTAAATTAATGGGCAGTTTCATCCTACTGATAGTGCTAGCCCAGACACATGGTTGGGATAATCCTGATGTATTTAATATACTGTAGTTCCTAAATATTTCCCATGGTTCCCTCATTTCTATATTGATATTCCCATCGTTGTTAAATTATTATAAACAAATAAAAGATCAGTATAACCAATCAGACAACAGAAGGGATAATTCAGACAGCTGTCTGAGCTATCCCTTCTGTCTATATGTTTCTTCTTGATAAAAACACCGCATTTCAAAATTTGCACAATATAAACACACAGATACCTTTGCCTTTCATTTAAGTTGCACTGTCAGAAATCTCTGACAATATTCACAGTGTCAAATGATATAAAGAAAAAGATTGCATAGAAATTGCAATATTTTATACAATCGTACCTAAACAAATCGTGTGGACAACCTGTGATTACAATGGTGAATGGTGATGTAAGCTTCATGACACAAATTCATGTTGAATCTCAAGAGTGCAGGTCCCATGTTTTTTTTCAGGAAATCGATTGTCTAAAACCTCCCAGTGTCCAAATCATAACACCTGTACCCCTGTCATTAATATAAAAAAACAAATAACTTGCAAAAAACTTGCAATACATGGGAATCAAAGTCCATTACATATTTGATCTGTATTTTATATACCCTTATTATTATTATTATTATTATTATTATTATTATTATTAGTATTATTATTGCTAATGTTCTGTCTTATGTCTAGTATTTTTCGATTATATTGTATACTTTAAAATACTGAGTCATTAATTTAAAGGCATGTACATTACTAATGTTGAATATAGAAACAAACTTGGATATTACTACTATGCGCTTATTCCATAACTACTCATTTACCCTATTTTAAAACAACGTATTATATTGGGTGGCCACAAAGTTTTGTCATCCATTGTAGAGGACGACTGTAGTACAATATTATTGTTCAGTATCAGGTTTTTCTGTTTACCCATACTCTAATAGCAAAATGGGGAGTGGTTCATCCTGTTGAAACAAACATTAAGCATTATACAAATACCCTACAGGTGTTGATGGCCTAGTGTGCAACACTGTCAAGCAGCTGTATGGATTACACCTAAATTGCTACCACTCTTAAAAACATTTATTCCCACTACTGCTTCTGAAACTTACAATGATTTAATTAATAAAATTATAATACAACTCACCAAGAACCTTCACTTAGGAGAGGAACCTTATAACAATGTTTCGGTCCTTTCTGTACCAGTGTCACATGGGCCAGGATGGACTGTAGTGTTGTCAAAAAGTTCTTCTCTTAAGTGTGGGTTTTTGGCGAGTTGTATTATGAAAAGTTACAATACCATTGTTACAACAATGGTATTGTAACTTTTTATTCTTCAAAATTATATTAGTTAAAGAATAGGCCTCATTAACAGAGCATTTATTAATCTCATTTTCACATTATTGAGTATTTCTTAACCTCTATCGTCCATTACAGTAAGGCATACTCAAATATTTATTCTAGTCTAAAATATGTGTAAATTCTTTGTTCATGCAAAAATATGTGAAAATTATCTTTTATATTTTTTTTTATTTTTTTTTTTTTATGAAAATACTAAGTGGGAACTAGAGTGGCTGCACTCTGAAAGATGGGTATGGAAGTTCCTTTTCAGAGAGTCATTTGAACTGTGATATTTGTGCACTCAAACAAGACAGCTAATGTATTGAATGAATGATGGTGAATGTATTTCCTTCTTTGGCTCACCCTACCTTGGTGGCAAATAATCACTGCTATTTAAAAAAAAATAAAAGATTAACTTGAAATGTTCATCTCAGTTTAGAATACTGTATATCATATAATGTTTATATCTAGCTATTGCTAGACTGAAAATGGAATCAGTGCAGCATAGGTATGTATAACAATTACACAATTCTGATGCATTAGCTCCATTTCCAGTTTGGAAATTGCCACCAATAAGTATTGTTTATTATAGTGAAATGTTGACAAATATATTACATTTAATATTATGCTGATAGTGTAATCCAATAAATTTTCTAGTATTTTTAAGTGAATAAAAATACATTTATGTCTTAACCACAGCAGTATTGAGTGTGCTTAGTAACACCATTAATTTTAAAATAGCTTTTTATTTAAAAATATGCAATAATGGTATATTGAATGACAAATTAATTATATAATAAAACTATAAACTAATATATTGAAAAGCACCAAGTCAGCTAAAATTACATTTGTTTCATCACTCATAATTCTTACAATAGAGGGCAGTAACAGACACCTTCAGTGAAGATTAAAACTTGTGTTGTAAAATTTAAGATTGGTAGCATTCATTGGTTAATCCACCAAAAAAATATGGTGTGAGGAGTTGTATGATGTTCACTGCAACAAAGAGCATCATATGTAGTGGGGGGGGGGGGTGTTCTAACTGTTCTAACTAAATACAGTACTATATCAAGTTGCTACAAGGGTGATGAGTTTTTATGGCCACCATGTATGTGTAATCTCCCATTTATTTTAAATAATGTTTCTTGAAATGTAAATTGTTGCATAACTGCCACATAAATTCCTCCAGTAAAATGATAGAGGAAATGTTCCATGGGGGTGCTGTTGGCTAGTTGCACAAATACAGTGATGCTGTACTTACTGTGCAATGCTAATATGTTGTTTATCTCCCCAGATATCTCCCACAAACTCTCTCTCCTACTCTCCTGCACACTCAAATGAGAAAACTGCACTTAATCACACAGGACATCGACCTCCTACCCCTCTGGAAAGGTTAGTGTATGGTGAATCATTAGTTTCTTGAGAGTTTTATTACTAGGTAAATATAGAGTTTTTGGTAATCCATGAATAATCATAATACATTCTTCTGTATTTTATTTGCAAGTACAGTTGTCCTTTGCTTTACACAGTAGGTGTTCCGTAGCTCGATTGCTAGCACACTCAGCTCACACACTGAAGTCTGGGGATTGATCCCTGGTAGGGCTGGAAAACATCAGGACACATTTCCATGAGACAACTGGTGTCCCTGTTCACCCATCAGTAAAATGGGCACCTGGGTGTTAGTCAACTGGCATGGGTCACATCCCAGGACAAAATTGCCTGAAATGCTCTGCATAACAAGGGGCTTTCTATTTAGTAGTATGTCACTGATGTCAGCTAGGCCTGTATACCTTGTACGGTGGAACCTTGGTTTTCTTCGAATTCAGTTTTCAATTACTTTTTTGTCAAAATATTGTCCTAGTTTTCATTTATCACCTCTGTTTTCGTCAAGTTGATGGTGGTCTGCCATACTGAACGCATTCGCCTGCGCCTACACAAAGCATCCCACGCTTTCTGAGTCAGTCTGGCTTTGTTTCTCGTCAGTAGAAGGTGGTAGTGATGGTGGTAGAGGGTGGTAGTGATGGTGGTAGAAGGTGGTAGTGGTTGTGATGTTGGTAGAGGGTGGTAGTGATTGTGGTAGAGGGTGGTAGTGATGGTAGTAGAAGATGGTAGTGGCTCTGATGGTGGTAGAGGGTGGTAGTGATTGTGGTAGAAGCTGGTAGTGATGGTGGTAGAGATAACCTCTCCTCCATCTTCCCTCCTCGTTGTCTTCCATACGCCAACAAGAGTCATCAGTAAAGGTAAAAGTGATGTTAAATGTTCATTTATCCATTTCATTATTCCTTTATATTTATTTCTCATTGTTTTCTGTATGTAAAACTAGTTATTCTCTATAAAATGTATTTTTTGTTAATACTTTTGGGTGTCTGGAACAGATTAATTGGATTTATGTTATGTCTTATGGGAAATATTGCTTCAGTTTTTGTCAGACTTTCTGGAATGAATTGATGACAAAAACCGAGGTTCCACCGTACATGTACTTGTAGAAATAAAGATATTATATAATTATTATTATAGAGGTGTACCAAGCTGATGGACCATGAAGTGAACCCAGTATAACACTTGAAACAGGGATATATTCTGCAGCATTGAAAATTTCATGTTACTTGATGGTTTACCAAAAAATATTAGTTTGTCACACATTTATCTTACTATTATATGACAAAAAGGAATGATTTTAGTTTAAAAAATTAAAATGACACATTCATTTATAATTCCTGTACAGATAACACAGTCAGCATTGGGAAAAAGTTCCACAATTCTTGACCTAATTTTTACCAAAAACTTATGAACATATCACATAAACACCAGATGACCTTAAACAGTGGAACCTCTACTTGCGAGCGCATCCACGTGCGAGTTTTTCCAAATACAATCAGTCGATGGGTCGATTTTTTTGCTTCCTTACACAAGCGAACTTCCCATAAGTGAGTGGACCTCCAGGGAGGTTCCTTGATGCTGGTGAGGGGCTCTTGCTCTTGATCTAGGGAATTGGATCTCATTTGTTTGTTGGACTATCTTATTGAAACTTGGGCAATGTATGATGGAAAGATGCTTCTTAACATACACCAAAAATGAAAGAAATCGGAGGATAAATAATGGAGTTCACTTCTCAGCAATTAGCCACCCCTTAGAGGTATTTTCGTATGGTTTTTATGGTTGTATTCTCGTTTTTTTGGTCTCGTTTGATAGAATGGAAGATATATTACAGAAATAGATATGATTTTGATTGCTTTCACAATGATAAGTACTTTGAAATTGAGCTCAAAGTAGGAGAAGTGTTCCATTCTTTGGCTATTCAAGAGTAAACAAATGATGTCACTGCCCATTCCAATATGTAGTCTTGAATGGGTTGACATTATTTATACAATTATTGCAATAAGGCAGTAGTCTACATAACAGTAAATCTTCTATTTTTTGTGTGAATAAAAATTACAGATTATTTATTTTGTAATAATAATAATAATAATATGTATAAGAATAATAATAATAATACGTATAATAATAATAATAATATAATTTCTTTCTTTCAACACACCGGCCGTATCGCACCAAGGCAGGGTGGCCCAAACAGAAAAACGAAAGTTTCTCTTAAATTTAGTAATTTATACGGGAGAAGGGGTTACTAGCCCCTTGCTCCCAGCATTTTAGTCGCCTCTTACAACACGCATGGCTTACGGAGGAAGAATTCTGTTCCACTTCCCCATGGAGATAAGAGGAAATAAACAAGAACAAGAACTAGAAAGAAAATAGAAGAATACCTAGAGGGGTGTGTATATATATGCTTGTATGTACATGTATGTGTAGTGTGACCTAAGTGCAAGTAGAAGTAACAAGACATACCTGAAATCTTGCATGCTTATGAGACAGACAAAAGACACCAGCAATCCTACCATCATGTAAAACAATTACAGGTTTTCGTTGTACACTCACTTGGCAGGACGGTAGTACCCCTCCCAGGGCGGTTGCTGTTTACCAACCTACTTCCTAGGAATAATATAATATAATACATGTAATAATAATACATATATAATAATAGGAGGTTTTGTGGGCGAGGGGCTTGGACTTCCAGCAAGCGTGCATGAGCGTGTTAGATAGGAGTGAATGGAGACGAATGATACTTGGGACCTGACAATCTGTTGGAGTGTGAGCAGGGTAATATTTAGTGAAGGGATTCAGGAAAACCGGTTATTTTCATATAGTCGGACTTGAGTCCTGGAAATGGGAAGTACAATGCCTGCACTTTAAAGGAGGGGTTTGGGATATTGGCAGTTTGGAGGGATATGTTGTGTATCTTTATACGTATATGCTTCTAAACTGTTGTATTCTGAGCATCTCTGCAAAAGCAGTGATAATGTGTGAGTGTGGTGAAAGTGTTGAATGATGATGAAAGTATTTTCTTTTTGGGGATTTTCTTTCTTTTTTGGGTCACCCTGCCTCGGTGGGAGACGACCGACTTGTTAAAAAAAAAAAAATAATAATAATAATGTACTATATAATAATAATGGTATTCATCTTCTTATGCCCTGTTGTATGGATCATGATATCATCAGCATAGCTTATAGCTATATGTTTAGGTGAGGCAGGTAGAGCATTTAGGAGAGCATCTCAAAGCTGTTGCTGGCTACAATCTCAACTATGGTGCTAATGTGAGAATCGTGAGAATGATGTACATAGCCTATGTTAGGTCCTTAATTGATTATGCTGCTCCCATGTTGATATTAGCTAGAGAAAGTTCTCTCCGACCCTTGGAGTTAATGCAAAATGAAGCTCTCAGGATTATTCTTGGCTGTCCCAGATCTACAAAAGTTCTTAACATGAGGAAGGAGCTTGGTATTTCTAGTATCAGTGATAGGATTATTGAAATTAACACTGTTCTCGGTATTAGAATGTTGAGAAATGAACCAGACACTGTCACAGTGAATCTTACCAAGTGTCTAGAGGTAAATACACACAGATCTGAATGGATTGTGAAAACGTGCAATTGCATTAAGTTTTATAACCTACATGAACAGTATCACTGTAGGCAACAAGAGCATTTCACCCCTCCATGGAAGATGTGTTCATTTAATATCACATACCTACAAGTCCCTCCCAAGAAGCTCATTGCTAGTAATCCTTCCTTAAATCTCTTGTTAGAGCAACTGCTCAAGAAGAAATTTCTCACCTAGCCGGTAGTAATAAGTTATCACAAGTTATATACACTGATGGATCTAAACAGGAGTCTTCTGGCAGGGCTGCATCTGCTCTTGTTGCCACCTCCCTAGTTAAGAACGATAATAAATTTGTTGAGTTAGGCATAAGAATTAACAACTGGGCGTCTACACTGCAAACTGAATTGTTTGCAATCCTAATGGCGCTAAAGCTAACCTATGACACTGAGCTTGACTCGATCATCATTACTGATTCTATGTCATCATTGAAGGCTCTTGACTCATATAATGACTCCAACAACATGCTCATTGGGGAAGCCAGGTATAGATACTCAAAAATTAGGGACAAAGGAATTAATGTACAATTGCTATGGATCCCATCACACATTGGATTACTCCTTCATGATAAAGTTGATATGTTAGCCAAGAAGAGTACCCAGAAGGAGAATGTAGAATATAACTTTGGTATAACTGTGTCTATCATTAGGAATAATATTAGGAGAGAAGTAAATAATGAAAATGATTGTTATAGGAATGCAGTTAGAAGCCTGAGTAGATCTATAACCCACTATGATAACATGAACGTAGATAAGTATGTTTATGGAGCAACGTGCAATGTGAACAGACTGACTGATGTTGTAGTGGCCAGGCTTAGGCTTGGTTACAAGTACTTCTGGCAGTTTGGGAGACACACAGATGATGATCAAACTAAATGTAAATTACGTGATCAGGCATATGGTCACTCTCTTGAACACTATGTGCTTAATTGTCCACTTATTGAGGAATACAGAGACAGACAGTATAATAACCTATGTGACATGTCAAGATATCTTATTAATGAAAATAAGATACCAGATATACTAAGCAAATTTCCTAAATTTGCTTGTGAAGGAGGGGTGTTAATGTTGCAGTTTAAAAACTGTAGTGTAAAGCACCCTTCTGGCAAGACAGTGATGGAGTGAATGATGGGGAAAGTTTTTCTTTTTCGGGCCACCCTGCCTTGGTGGGAATCGGCCAGTGTGATAATAAAAAAAAATAATAATAAAAATAGATATGTAGATATAAATCCATATGTATTCCTGTTAACCCTTTGGGGCCTAGTTCCTAGGCCTTTTGTGTATCCATATGCTCTCGCGCTACTGTCCACAGGATGGATATGGGGTGCACAATAAACTAGCCACTTCGGTGGCAAAATCTAAATCTAATCTATATAATAATAATAATAGTACACAGTTCCAA